ACGGATCGCAACCCTCAGTGTTGCCCCCGTACCGGACCGGGGACCGGCAACGGGATCGCAAGCCTCGGAGCTGCTCCCGCGCCTCGCTCAGCCAGTGAGCGGGAGCCGGTCTGTATGTGGGATCCGAACCCTCGGACGGGAGCGCCGCCGCGCTTCCCAAGCGGCGCACTATCCAGTGCGCCACCGGGCCGGCCCTATTTGTTGTAACTTTTGTTTCATGCCTTTCACTTTATTTCATTTTTAAAAATCTGAAAAATACTATTGTCAATCTTATTCTGGTGTTTGTGGTGACCCTTAGAGTTGTGAAAAATTGTAGGCTATCAGACTTTCTCATAGCAGTGTGTGGTGTCTGCTTAGCAGACATTTTTATGCATGCAAATCAAATTAATATTGTATTATCTGGCCTTTCCTCTCCTGTTTTAATTCTTTCATGTTTTTACCTTGGGATATAGCATGTCTTTTGCATACTTTCCTTTCTATGTAGACTATAAAAATTGGAAGTTGGTAATAAATATTTTCTTTAATTCAGAGAAATTTTCTGTCACTTTTCAAGATAATAGAAATGCTGAACTTGTTACACTCAGAGTGGATGCAATTGATAATTTATTCACTATAAATTAAGGTTCTCCCTTTCCCTGAACAAATATTTAGTGTCTTTTTGAATGAGTATTAGCTGGACCTCAAATTATTCCAAGAAATGTGCTTATAGCAAGTTCAAAAGAACTTTAATCTTTTGTATGTAAAATGATATAATTCTACATACAAAAGGTTATGAATCCGAAGTTTTTGGTTAAACCATGAGAAATGATTGCCTATTTAATGCTTTGTATAATAGAATAGGCTGGATTATTTTCCCCTTGAATAACATGACCAAATCGTAAAAATGCCAATCTAGACAAATATCATTGCTATTTGAAATATAAACCTAAAACTGATTAAAATGAAATTTTGTTTCTGCTTGAAGGGTTTGATATTCATATTCAAGGAGTATACATAATACATACATCCTACCCTTTTTGCCCTTTGCAAATATGTTAGAAAAAGACTCTGCTTTTAGCATATTTTCAGTCTCCTTGCTTTGGGTTCAGTTAGAATATAAGGTGAATCTTAGTTGCAACACCCAGACCTCCAATATACTTTGAGTGTATAAGACACTCATAGGCGTGTCTTACTGTGATGGCCTGTATCTAAGCCAGATAATTCTACTGCTTTCAGCTATGTATTATTTCCGTTTGTATGTCAGGAGACAGTATCTATGTGAGTATTGGCCTTTCTGCATGTTTCATCCAATGTTTATGATATTATTTGATAGCAATTTTTATAAAATGATTCTCGTGATTGTCTCAAATGAAATCAGAAGATACTGTTTTATTCCCTTTTCAAAACCCTTTCAGTGAAGGTGTTTTTCCCCTCTCTTGTATGATTGCATACTGAGCATCTAAGCCTGTTGTTATTTATAATTAAGGTAGGTGCAGTCATTCCTTGGTTTCTTTGAAGGACTGGTTCTAGACTGTCCCTCGGATACCAAAATCTTGAGATGCTCAAGTCTCTGATGAAAAATGATATAGTATTTGCAAATAACCTATGCATATCCTCTTATATACCTTAAATCATCTGTAGGTTATTTATACCTTTTTGATAACTTTTGTAATTTTTTTTTTTTTTTTGGTGGCTGGCCATAAAAACCCCTTGACCTTGATATTATAGCTCTGCACTCTAACCAACTTAACTAACTGGCCGGTCTTATAAAACCTAATACGATGTAAATGCTACGTAAATAGTTGTTATCCTGTATTGTTTAAGGAATAATGACAAGAAAAAAATCTGTACATATTCAGTACAGATGCAATTTTTTTTTCCTGAATATTTTTGATTCGTGATCAGTTGAATCCGTGGATGAGTATATTTGTTCATTTCTGTTGCTCATGACAAAGTACCTGAAACTGGATTATTTATAAAGAAATAGAATTTATTTCATAAAGTTGCAGAGGCTGGGAAGTACGCAGTATAGGGGGCCTTCTTGGTAGTGGCTCTACAGTGATGTAGGGTATCATATGGTAAGAATGGCAGGAGCAAGAGAGAGTGTTAACCTCCTCACTTGCTCTCCTTTTAAAGCCGTTGGAACCACACCTTTTATTCCATGGATGGATCAATCCATTTGTGCAGGTACAGTACTTAGGATCTAATCACCTCTTCAAGGCCCCACCTTTCAATTACCATAGTAGGATTTCTTATCCTCTTAACGCTATCACAGTAGGTATTAAGTTTCTAATACATGGACCTTTGGGGGACACATTTGACCCATATTAATGAGGAACCCACAGACTGTATTAATAATTGAATAGGTTGGGTAGGAATATTTATCAATGACATATTATACTTTGTGTCTGTAAGTACAAATAGCTATTAGGGATTCTAGGATTTTTCTACTCCTAAAAATAGTTAATTTTTCTTAAATGAATGGAGAAATGATGAAGTACATTATTATGTGAATTTGTGTGCCCTGTTGGTAAAATTATGTCTCTAGAAATGTAATACAGATAAAATATAAAACTTTTTTAGTCATATTCCCCCATGTAGTCTAATGTTGCTGTACTTTGAACTTGTTTTCCCACTATATTTTACATTTTCACTTAAGTAGAATAAGACTATAAATATCATTGCTACCATAATCAATATTTTTTGTTAATAACTTTAGTTTAATTTTGCAGTTTATAGAAATTCTCAGTTAACTTATTAAAAATCAGTTCATATCTCCTGAATAAGTAATTGAATGTCTCAACTGAGCAACTAGCTTCTTTTAATGCCATTACTAGAATTGTTGACCATCTTTTAAAAATATGGGTTATTATTCTATAAAATAAAAGTACAAATGTAGATTAGATGACAAAGGTTTACATTTTAAAAGAAAAACATATTTGGGTTTTAGCTCAGATTAATATGAGTAAATTCTAATAGGTTATGGCACACTACCTATAATTCTGAATGTGAATTTATTTTATTAAAAAAAAACAAAACTAAGTGTACTTGATTCTTTAAAGAAGGAAGGTATCCATCAATTTTCATTAAAATGTAAAGTAATGCTTGTTAATCAAAATGTTGAATTTCATTGTTATATTTTTGTTATTGTGTAAACTAGAAAAGAGTTTATTCCTCTTGCCTTCAGAACTGGAGATTCCTAAAAAATAAATTCTATTGTTTTAGCTAATGTTTTTCAAGAAACACCGAGAAGGTGATCTTTAAGCTAAGGATTTCCAAATAAAATCGTAAGATATCATCTATGCTCAGATACCTTTGTAACATAAAACACAAATACGAGGCCTTTTTTGGGGGGGAGGGGGGGGTATTATTTTTTATTCATGTTAAAGTGAGTTGCCTTTCAGTATGGTCTTTGGTGGGGAGGAAGCATGCTTGTTTTTTTTCTATTTTCATTTCAGCACCACCACCTCCACCACCATCAAGGGGAGGGCCACCTCCTCCTCTTCCTCCCCCACATAGCTCAGGCCCTCCTCCTCCTCCTGCCAGGGGAAGAGGCGCTCCTCCTCTACCGCCTTCAAGAGCTCCCACAACTGCACCTCCACCACCGCCTCCTTCCAGGCCAGGAGTAGGAGTCCCTCCGCCTCCGCCAAATAGGATGTACCCTCCTCCACCTCCAGCTCTTCCCTCCTCAGCACCTTCAGGGCCTCCACCACCACCTCCACCTCTGTCTGTGGCGGGGTCAGTGGCGCCACCCCCACCGCCTCCACCTCCACCTCCACCCGGGCCACCACCTCCCCCTGGCCTCCCATCTGATGGGGACCATCAAGTTCCAACTCCTGCAGGAAGCAAAGCAGCTCTTTTAGATCAAATTAGAGAGGGCGCTCAGCTAAAAAAAGTGGAACAGAACAGTCGTCCAGTGTCCTGCTCTGGAAGAGATGCGCTTTTAGACCAGATACGACAGGGTATTCAACTGAAATCTGTAAGTAATCTGTTCTTTTCATTTTAGATCATCTATCATAATGGAATTTTAAAGTGATTTGTGAGAAATCTTTGAAAAGTTTCTTCTTTTACTTTTTCTCTTGCTATTTAGTTTTTGAACCTTAAGATTTTTTAATATTTTTACATATACAAATTTTTAGTTCAGTTTTGATAAGTGCCTGTAGCTATGTAACCCATACTTCTACATAAAACTGTAAAACGTTTCCATCACCTCAGAAAGTTCCCTCATGCTTCTTCCTAGTTCTTCCAAAAACAATCACTGATCTGATTGCCATATACTGCCTATTCTAGAACTTGTTATAAGTGGGATTTTACAGCATGCTTGCAATTTATTGTTGTAGACTTTACTTTTAAAGATATTTTAATTTAAAGGAAAATTCTTATTAAACTGTGGGAAATTAAAAATAGCCCTACTCGAAATCAATTGCAATTGCCATGGTAAATCCAAACCAGTAACTTTATGAAAACTAAATTATATTCTAAAGTTTCTGCGTTCTGAAATTTAGATTAGTAGAGAATCAAACTCGACAGAAAACTGGAAGAGTTCTAATAGAATTTCTGACAGTGAGGGCTGGCCCGGTGGCGCACTGGAGAGTGCGCCGCTTGAGAGCGCGGCGGCGCTCCTGCCGAGGGTTCGGATCCCATGTGGAGACTGGTTCCCGCTCACTGGCTGAGCGTGGTGCGGGCGCAACACCGAGGGTTGCGATCCCATTGCCAGTCCCTGGTACGGGCGCGACACCGAGGGTTGCGATCCCGTTACCGGTCAGTAAAAAAGACAAAAAGGAAAAAAAAAAAAAAAGAATTTCTGACAGTGATGGCAGATAATTTGGGATTCTCTGAATTGGGTTAGGTGATCATTTAATCTTCTAGATTATTTAATCTTGTAGAGACTGGCAAACTTTTTTCTGTGAAGAACCGGATAGTAAATATTTTAGATTTATAGGCCCTATGGTCTCTAGTCAGTACACAACTCTGCTTTTGTACCACAGAAACAGCCATAGACAATATAAATGCATTGGCTTGATTGTGCTCTAGAAAACTTTATTTTTGGACACTGAAATTTGAATTTCTTGTAATTTTCACGTCACAAGTATTCTTTTCATTTTCTTTCAGCCATTAAAAAATGTAAAAACCATTTTAGATTTCAGGTTATAAAAAGGGACAGGCAAGATCTGGCCCATGGGCTGTAGTTTCCCCACCTCCTGTCCTAGAGCCCAACCTGTCTACATTTACATACTTCTTTCTGAGCCTTTATGTGTAATGTATTCTGCAGGACTTCAGACAGGTAACGGACGGTAGATTTTTCTATGAGGTGAGTGAAGGTGACAGAAAGACATTTTAGTTGAAAACTATTTTGTTATGTAGGAAATTAACTTTCTAGATCTCAGAAGCTTTGGCTAGGAGGAAAATGATGGCATAACTAATTGAATGAAAACATTTAATCATTAGCATAGCATGGATTTAAGAGGCATCTGATCTTTAGAGTAAATCTAGGTCTTTTCTCAACATATATAACACATCTGATCTTTAGAATATATCTAGGTCTTTTCTCAGTATATGTAACACTTAGATCAGCCTGTGAGCTTCAAAACTGATCTCCTTAAAGAGAAATTGTATGTTATGAGAAAAGAGGTTCATTTTGAATTACAATATATACATATTAATTATAACATTATATCACATGAGGTATAAATATGACATATAGAGATGTAAAGCTGAATTTTTGTAGGAGAACATAAGTTTCTACAGTTGCTTTTAGATATCTTAAGCGTGCTTCCCACCTAACGTCTCTAGGAATATAACTATTACCCTGTGTTTATAAAATGATGTCCCTCGATAATAGTTTTAAAGTTTTGTCATCTGAGGCTTTGTGTGCTAGAGTGAACAGAAGTAACCCAGCTGCAAGGGCAAGTATTATTCAGGAAGGAGTTTAATTGTTGTTTAAATATGACCATTGATTTGGATACGTATTGATGGCTGATACTTTAAGAAGGATAGGAAATATTTCTTGAACAATTCTTTTAAAGTAGCAACTTGTTTCTTCTTAATTTAGTTAATCCTTTCCTGGGTTTGCTAGTTTACTTTTTTAAATTTTCTTTTAAGATAAGAAATGATTCTAAGAAAGTAAGATTTTCTGGTGACAGAGGTTCTTTGCTGAGGATTTATTATTGAGTGCTAATGTTCTTTTCCAAGGTGTCTGATGGCCAAGAATCTACATCACCAACACCTGCTCCCACCTCAGGAATTGTAGGTGCATTAATGGAAGTGATGCAGAAAAGGAGCAAAGCCATTCATTCTTCAGGTATTTGTGTGTGTGTTTAATTAACCTGAATGTTTGAAGTTCTATTATTTTTCTTATTTTATAACTATTTTTGCTAGCTTTCTTCCTGCTAATTGAGTAACTTACTGATGTGGGTTCTAGGGCATATTTTTAAAAGTTGTTGCTCTGTGACTAGTCTGTCTGAAACTTACTGGATGCCACAACACCACAGTCACACCATGAATTGGAAAAACAACTTTGGAAAAATGTCAATTTTGTTTCTTACGGGAAATACAGATAGAATCATTGGCAAACAACCTCTAAAAAAAGGCTTGAGATTTCTGGATCTCATTCCTATGACATTCCTGTTTCATAAGAAATTTAGGAGGTTTTCCTAATCTGTGAAGAGTAGGGCTGAGAAATTAGGTAATTCCCACTGTTCATGGAGTTTGCTAAAGAAGACTAACTTAAAAAAAATTTTTTTTTGTCATTTCCTAAAAGGTTTATTTGAATAAGCCAGTACCTATTCTGAGGTTATTATTAAATATGTACACATCACAATGTAATGAATATTGTTTTTAAAAAAGAGCCAGAATATGTGTTTTGCTGATTGGAGCGGTTGAGGTTTACTTAAAGAACTTCCTCAGTATGTGCTAGAGTCTGATCTTTGTTCTTATTAGATCTATTTACTTAATCTCTGTGAACCTCAGATTTCTTATTTGTTCCATGCAGAGAATATATAAATCATATGATTGATGTGAGAATTAAATTAAATAGTATGTAAGTAACTAGAAGATTGCCTAGCATATAGTAGGTGCTCAGTATGTGTTTTTAGGGCGGCTAGCTGGTATAAGGATCAAACCCCGGACCTTGGTGTTATCAGCACATGCTCTAGCCAACTGAACTAGCTGGCCAGCTCATTTTCTTTGTTTCTCTGTAAGGATGTGAATATCTAAGATCCTAGAGCAGCATCTGCTGCTGAAATAGGCATATTTGTTCCTATACTGCATTACAAAGATTGAATAGGTTAATACATTCCATAAATATTTTTTGTGAAATAATAATAAAATTTTAACAAAACAACAAAAAATTCTGCCTTCATGGCACATGCATTCTAGTGAGAGAGAGACAGACAATAAATAAAATAAATTAGAAAAATATGTGTTAAATGGTGATATGCACTAAGGACAAAAATATAGCAGAAAAGAGGGATGGGGAGTTACAGGCTGTGGGAGGGAGGTGCCTTTTGAAATGGGTTGATGAAGCCTAACTGAGGTGACATTTAAGAAAAGAACAGAAGTAGTTTGGGGAGTGAACCATGGAGAAAACTGGACAAAGTGTGTCAGATGGAAAGAGCAGTAAATATAGAGGGAGTGGGGAAGAGGAATGGGTAAAGGGTCACGAAAATCAACTGTGATGTATATTGAGAAGTTAAAATATAAGTAAGTAAATGAATGAATGAATGAATGAATAAATAAATAAATAAATGAATAAATAAAAATAAAAAATAAAAATAAAAATAATAAATAAATAAATAAATAAATAAATAAAATAAAATAAAATAAAATAAAATAATAAAATAAAATAAAAAACGCATCACTCCAAAAGTACAGTTTCAAGAGTCAGAGCAATAAGGTGGAAGTGAATGAGATCAGGGATTTGTGCTTTTCAGTTAAAGTGAATGACCTCTCTGCCAACGTATTTAACCCTTCTGGGTCTCTGTAACCTCTTCTGTAAAATGAGTCTGGAGGAGATGATCCCTAAGTATTTTCCTATATAGGATTCTGTGATTTTAATTCAAAAGGCAGGCTGTCTTTGATTCAGACATGGGCTATTTGCTTATAACCTAGCTATTTGGGATTTAACAGTTATTTTTTTTTTCCACCTGGACAATGCCAGTTCACACAACAGCAGCTATTTGTTGGGCTCTTAATTCTGTGTCAAGCACTGACCTAAGTGGTTTGCATGCTTTATTTCATTTAATGTGGCAACACTTCTGGAAGGTAGGGAGTTTTAAGGTTCCTGTTTTACAGATGAGGAAACTGAAGGTCTGAGAGGGGAAAAAAAGAAAGGGAGGGAGGGAAGAAAACTTTCCTAGAGCCTCATAGCTACTAAACCTTGGCCAGGACCTGGATCTAAAACCAGGTCTGCCTGATTGCAAAGCTATTCTAACCACCATATTCTGGTTTTCGCACAAAAGTATGTTTTACCCAGAATGCACCTGAAATGTAGAGTCTAGCCTCTAAACAGAAGGCTTTCTTTTTTCTGGCACCTTTACTGTAACAGACAGAAAGCATCATAGTTAAGTGTTCTGAGCAAGAGCCCCCAAGTTTAAAGCTCAGCTCTACCACTACTGGCATAATAACCTTGAGCAAGGTACTTAATCTTTCTTTCTCCTGTAGTTTCTTCAACTATAAAATGAGTATAATAAAGGATCTGCCTCTAGAGTTATTTTATTAAGTGATTAATATAATAAGTTGAACCTTATAGAATTGGTGGTATTCTGCCAAATCTGATCTCCATAAATGGCAATTTCATGTGTAAATACTAAAAGTGCTTAGAGCAGAGTCCAGTGCACAGTGAGCATTGTATTAATGTTGACTGTTATTCTTATTGAAAATTGCATTGAGAATTGGGGTATAGTGGGTGCTTAATGATTGCTGGTACATTTATTGAATTAAAAAGAAACTGGGATGCCCAGGAACACATCTGTGGTAGTCTGGGCTATGGGAGACCCTCCATGGCTGGGAGAAAGGCAGGTGGGGCAGGGGAGGAGATAAGAGTTCTCAGATTCCAACAGCTGTGAGATTCTCTGGGTATCACCCTGGCATAGGGCAGGACCTGCAGCAGGACCTATGCCATGTACATACCTCCCTGAAGCAGTCTTTGTCCTCTGGCCCTGAGGAACGGAAGAAAAACTCTCAAGGCAGAGGGGGTGGGGAGTTAGGTTGTGTCGTTTGCTTGAAGTTTGCTTTTTAACAGCTAGTAATAATGAGAAAAGACAGGCAAAAGGAGATCCTCCCTTCTTGCATGTTCCTCTAGCACTTTGTTTCTTAGATCACTGTGTGAGAGGGTGGGGAAAACACAGAAATAATGGGTGGGTCTGTAGGAACAGAATGACCAGTGTTAAAGGTTAGATGCCGCCTAGCAGAGGGTAATGTTTCCCCTGTATGGTAGTACACAGTATGACTTTGTGTATGGTGTGGGCAAACTTTATTATAATCGTTATACATGTATATTTATTTTAATGTATCACAACACCTTACAACTAATACATCAAGCATTATTTTGGGTGGAGGCTAAATTGATTAAAGTTTTTAAAAGGGGGATTGATTTGAAAACTTAGTTTTAATAGTGGAGCTCAGATTTAAGAAAATCCATGAACATGGTCAGTGACGGCTAAGGTTAGGGAAACACTGAGGCTAGATACATCTTTGTGTTCCTGGCTCTGCCACTTAGTAGTCAGCTGTGTAAGAGTGGGCAAGTTATTTAGTCTCTCTCCGCCTTAGTTTTCTCAAATGTAAAATAGGAATAATTGCTTCCTGAAAGGTGATCCTTTTTTTTTTTGGATGATTGAATGAGAAATGCCTTAGAAGTAGGTGGTAATTGAGAGCCTGGTACAATATAAGAATTCAGTAGATGTTGTTTTATTACTATTATTATTACTTTTAGCCTGGCACACTGTAAGACCTAAATAAATTGCATTTTTTTAAACACACACACACAAAAGAAAGAAACAGAAGTACTTCAGGGAGTGAACCATGGAGAAAACTGAACAGAGCATGTCAGATGGAAAGAACAGTAAGTACAGAGTCCTTGAGGTTGAAGAACAATGAGGAGATCAGTTTGGCTATAGCAAGAAAGCGATGGAAAGAGTAGTAAGGCATGCAGGACAAGAGGTAGTAGGGGCAAGTAGTAAAATTTTAGAAACCATTGAAAGTACATTGGCTTTTATTCTGAATGTGACAGGAAGCCATTGGAGGGATCTTAGCAGAAGAGTCTTAGTGATCCAAGCAAGAGGTGATGGAGGTTTATAGTACAAATGAGAAATGGTTAGATACTAGTTATATTTTGAATGCAGAAATCACTGGGTTTGCTGATGGATAGGAAGTGAGGTTTGAAAGAAAGAGAGGACGTAAGGATAACTCCAAGGTTTTAACCTGAGCAACTGGAAGTGTGGAATTTTTTTAACAGATTTAGGAAGAGCAAGTTTGAGAGGATAGATTAGGAGTTTGGTTTTTTACATATTAAGTTTGAGGTACCTGTTAAAAATTCAAATGTAGATGTTTAGTAGGCATTTGGTTATGAGTCTGGAATTCATAGGAGAGGTCTGAACTGTTAATAAAATTTGCATGTCAATAGGATATACATAGATACATGGTATTAGAGTTATGGAACTGGATGAGATCAGCAAAGAAACAGATATAGATAGAGAAGAGGTCTAGTAAGGTCCAAAGCCTAGGGAATGCATTATCTAGAAGCCAGATGAAGAAAATGTTTGAAGGAGGACAGTGAGATCATATGGGTCAAATGCTTCTGATAGATCAAAAATGAGGACAGGGAATTATTGAGCTTTAAGATTTAGCAACAGGAGCAGTGTCCAGTGGATTCAGCAGTGAGTAGGAGGATAAAAATAGAAACCATGGGTATGGGGATCACCTACTGTGTTTTCTTTATGACTTAGTGTTGATAAAGTTCCTGCCTATCACTGTAATGATAGCTGGAGTTGATAGCTGAACAATGTGTCCATCGCATTTTTTGATACCTTTTTTTTAAAGAAGCTTGGTTTTCCTAGTTTTTTACTTCCCTGAATGTTTATTTAGAAAAAACATTCATCTGCTAGATTACGTTATTCTCATCGGCAGTTGGCCACATTTTTCTTTTGGAAAACATGACCTTCTGACCTGTTTCATGCTAAAAAGTTGAAAAGTTAGCTGAACTGTTTTTTCGTGGCATAGTAATTGATATAGGGGGTCTTCAAGAAGTTCATGAAAAGATTTATATTATTTCTATTTTTATTTTTCTACAAAAAAAATCGTATTCACAATACTATAAAAAAGTATGATTACTTAAATTGATAATTGTTTATAGGCCATTTCTCACTTCATCTTCATAACCTGGGTACATGTTAGATAACATTCAGCAATAATTTGATATCAGTAGTGAGTCTCAGCTTATTCATTTAGATATCTGTCTTCATACCACTCATAACACCTGAAGGCAGGAAAAATGGCTCATCCATCAATGTATCAGTGAATGAATACAGCAGTTGGCCCATAGGCAAACATAATTGGATTGGCCCAGCTGTGGAAAGCTTTCAAGCCTTGTGGCAAAGGCTTGAGATGGCAAGAGTTAAGAATTCTTAGAATTAAGACTGTTGAGAGTAAACTCAAGTAACTAACCACTATGAAGATTAGGCTGGATAGGAAAAGAAAATAAAAAAGATAATTTTAGATATAGAAAATGCTCAAGAAGAATCTTGATAGCTGCTGATATCAAAGAGACAAATAAAAGGTTCTCATTCTCACCAGATGAGGGAAATATAAGGTTTCTGTGAATATGGGATCATGGGAAAGCATTTATTCTGTTCTGATATTTTTGGGTTCTGCTAAATACTTCCCTATTTTTTTTGTAAGAGAAAGATATAATTAATATTATATAATAGTCTTGCTAATATAATGAATATATCAAATGCTTTTTAATTATTTTCAGACCCATTTCTTTTAACTGTCATTTCTGTGGCAGGACCTGATGATGGAATTATTAGCTACTTCCTCTTCTTTACCATGGATGCTGATAAATCCCTATCCTTTGTTACTCTGTAAATGTCAGCATAGTTTGGTATACTTGATACTTTAATCCAGGTGAATTTTGTGAAGCATGTCTAGCAAAAGCTTTGGGTAGCCGTTATTTACTAGAAAAGTAAACGCAGAAACTAACACAAAGTCAATTAAACTCCTTTGCAAGTAAATTCTGTAATGATTTAGAGCTGACCATCAGACTTAATTAAATAAAAAATAATTATTAGTATAAAGGAGCAACTTAGTTTAATCATACCTTTCTTGCTTCTGTTAATATCCAAGTTTTAATACTAGAACTCAAGTACTTCTTTATAGAAACCTTCAAACAATCTATTTTATAGGGGGAATATAGAAGGAAAAGAGTGTTCTGTATATCTAGCCCACATATGAGGGGTCTTCAGAAAGTTCATGGAAAGAGTTATACTGTTGTTTAATTCTGGTTTTCCACGAGCTTTTTGAAGTTCCCTTGTATATGTTATATACTCAGTTCTTACTGGCTCTTTATCATTTTCAAGTGCAATTGCTCAGCCACTGTCTCACCTTACAGACTTGATCTTCATGGGTTTTATGAAGTGTGTGTGTATATATATATATTTAAAAGGTTAGTAAATATGGAAAGTTGGTAAAATTTAGAAGTGTGTACATAGAATTTGATGACATCTAAATATTTATTTGTTCATTCAAGAAGTACTTAGTAGCTTCTATGCAGTACTGATCTGGTGTTGCTACAGTTGTTATTTACCAGGCAGGCAAAATCTGTGCCATCGTGGAGCTTATATTCTGGTGTGATGACTATAAATGTATAAGCAAAGTATAAGATAATTTCAGGTAGTGGTGAGGTTATGAGGAAAATAAAGTAATAATAGACAGTTTCTGATTGTGGAGGAGGATTATATTTTACATAGGATGGTCAAGAAAGGCCTCTCTGAGAAGGTGGTTTTTGAGTGGGACCTAAAGGATGAGAAGACTCAGCCAGACAGAAGAAATAGCTACTGCAAAAGCTCTAAGGCAGGAATAAGCTTAGCATGTTTGAGGGATAGAAAGGAGGCTATCCTTCTAGAAACAGTGAATTGAAGGAGAGAGCATTATGAGAAAAGCTTCGGGGTGGGGAAGAGACAATAACTGAGCTATACATATAGGGTCTTACAGAGTGAGGTAACATCAGATTTTATTCAAATAACAGTGGTCAGCTACAGGAAGATTTTTTTTAAAGGTAGCAACATGATCTTTTTTAAAACTTAGAATTTAATATAACTCCATTTGTTCTGAGGCAAATAGACTATATATAGTTGCAGTAATCCAAGCAAGATATGATGGTAGTGTGGGAGTAGCACTGGAAGTGATGAAAAGGAGTAGACTTCATGATTAGATGATGAAAAAAGAAGAATCAATAATAATTTCTAGGTTTTTGACTTAATCACAAGAGGGGGGGTGGTGCCGTTAATTGCAGCAGAGCAGACTAGGGTAGAGGGATGGGGAAAGAGACAAAACTTTAGAAGTTTTGCGTTTGAGAATCTATGTGAAGAGTACAAGAAGGCAGTTGGATTTGAGATATGCGAATCTGAAGTTTGGAAAGGCCAACCCAAATATAACTTTATACATTAAGAAACAGGTTGAAATTTGTTACATAGATACTAAAGGGCTAGAACCCAAATCTTCTGATTCCTGTTCTAATCTTCAGGTCACCATTTTACACTCTTTAGCTGTATTTTATTAGGTTCATTTTAAACTATACTAGTAAACAGACTTCTCCAGGAATGAAATGGTTTGTGTTTGAGGAGTTAAATGTTTTAGAAATTACCCCCAAATTATGTAGTGTCATTTTATTTATGCATATGTTTTAATTGGTTGTCTTGTTGATTTTCTTCTAGATGAAGATGAAGATGAAGATGACGAAGAAGACTTTGAAGATGATGATGAATGGGAAGACTGATCTATATATTATATATATTTTTAAGGTGTAATACTAAACACTACTTTCTGTCTATGGATTCTGTAAAATTATCATGTAAATGTTCTACCAATTTGCTGTATATTTTTGTTGCCTTTTTTGCTTTTTTTTAATTAATCTGTGCAATACCTCATTTAATCTGTAAAGGTTTGTCATAATCCTCTACAAAGCTACTCCCTGTTATTGTGTGCAAGTTTACACCAGGATGCTCACTTGATTTGTGAATATTTTTCATTCCATCAACAAGGGAGTTTAAATAGTATATGTGAGACTGACAAAAATCTTAATGTAATTTAGTTATAATGCCAGAAGGAAAACACTATTTTCATACCCTACTTTTTCTGTACCTAAATTTTCTTAATTAAAATCTAGTATAGCACTACATTCTTTTTTAAGTGATGCAAACTTTAGTTTCTTTAGCCCCTTCATTTTGAATACAATGCTATAAATGAATGTTGAAGCTGATACATTGCACAGTTCTCTAGACATCACTACTCTGATGCAGTTTCTCAAATTTTAGCAGTATGCTCTACATAAAATCACTACAGAGATACTGGTGGGGAAAATCAGCAACACACTTCTTACAGCAATATTGCCTATAATTGGTACAGCAGTGGTATTTGCAGGCTGGAATCATAAGGAAACCTTATATACTGTACTTAACTGAGGTTATTTTTATGCTATAGCAGATGTAGCAGGCTCTTTTTGGTAAAATCTTTAAAAATATTTTTGGTATTTTTCTGAAACGGAAAAGTTATTTAAGTTGGAGTTGGGGGGGGTTAGGGAATAATTTCATTCTATATGAAACTGAAGGGGGGAGGTCTTCATTATGATTACTCTAATATTTGGTTTAAAATGTTATACAAATCAGAACATTATTAAAATGGTATGTAATTAAGTATTTTTATTCTGCAGTTTGTCTGGACTGAGGTATTCAGAAATACCAACCATAAAAATCTAATCTAGTTGGCGAAGGTATACACTGTCATGCTGAATCTTAACATGCTATATATATTTTTATTTTGATAATTTCTCAAAGTTTTTGTTAAATATCAGGTGAAGGGTTACATTTTTCTTAAAATATTGATGGTCCCAGTGTCAGATTTCTTGCAGCACATAACTGAATGGTAGATTTTTTAAAAATAAAACTTTACAACCTGCACATTTGTTATGCATACTAAATGGTGTGTTAAAGTTAGGGTTTCCTTGCCTCTCTACAATACACTAATCAGCCTCAAGGTGGTTGTTTCATGTTTATAGAGCTAATTATTATACCTACCTACTTTAAATTTTAGGTAGAAAATTATCTGATTTAAATACAGACACATATTTTTCTCACATTGAGTCATATGCAGAATGTAGTTCCAAGTGTATTTCATTACTGTAGTCACAATATCCAAGTAAAAATTATGGTATCTAGAATTGTACTGACCAAAATCTAGTATTGGCATGATCTTGACAGGCTGGACCTGCAAGAAGTGGCTTGAATTTTAACCAGTTATCACATAATCTCTAGTGATCATGCATCTAATTATCATAAAAAATAACTTAAAAGGTTTTGTTGCTGAAAGCAGTAAGTGGTGCAGTAAAATAGTTAAGTTATTTAAAGAATGTTACCTTCCTTGCAAGAGTAATTTAGGCACATGGGAAAGATTCTAGACTTTTTGTTTCTTGCAAAAACAGTGCCCTCTGCTGCTAGAAACCTTTTTCTGCTTACTATCATTTTTATTGTGGCTTGAGCTCACTGAGTCTGGTGTGGATGAGGCTGGACAACTACTGACCAATAAAATGAGGAACTTGTGCAAATGGTAAATAGAACATTATAATTATTTTAAATAACTTTAAACATTTTCCTTTTTTTTCTTTTTGACATTATAAAAAACGTTTATAATTTTCTAGAAGTGTCTTTAAGATAATGCCAATTTAAGATCTCTCTTAACTTTTGGCCAAGGAATTCAGGGTTTGCCAGCTAACTTTGGTATGATAAATATTTGTCAGGAGCTGCCATGAGGATATTAATTCTTTGAGTTAGAAACACAATTTAAACATGTAAGATGGGTATATAATTTGCCAAAAGGAATTGAGTTTGTTCTTTTTTCTTAAAAATAGAAAGAAAGGACTTGCACAAAGTCTAAATTACTATTGGTTAAAACCCAGTAGCTGTGGAGTTCATTTCAGGCATGAAGACTAAATCCGCTTTACCAAGTAAGGTTGCATGTTTCAGTCCTCCACCATCTTGCACTGTGGGCAGCACTATTCTGTGCATTGCCTGAACGCCTCCCGTATATACTCCAGCTAAATGATTGTCTGGTAGCCTTCGCATTTAACAAACTAGCATGAGGCTTTTTAATATCTAAATGCTACGTGATAGACAATTTCAGCTAGCCACGTATTGTATGTATGAGATTCATAAAGACTTTCAATCATTTCATTTTCAAACAACTGAAATTTTGTTTAGTATGTGAATTTTTTTGAAATGTATAGTGAATAGGATGTTGCACTGGTGGCAATTCATCATGGAGCATAATAAAATTAATTTGACCCAAATAGTATAAAATAGTGCGTTTTTATTTGTTTATCATTAAGAGATTGAAATAGGTAAAAAATATTTTATACTACAGAGTATAGCAAAGGGTGCACAGTAGTGAATGATAATGGTTAAAGTTTTCAGCAGACTGCATGCCCTGAGAGTTAGACTGTGCCATTAAATAAACGTGGTGAGCAAAAGAATGTTACACCCTGTTCTGTTGGGAAACATGACAGCTGCTCAGTAGCTCGCCTGGAAGCCACTGCTGTGGTAGACAGAGCATTCAGATTGCAAGGTCAAATTGTTTGGAACTCTTTCACATACCAAAAATGTTGAAGTTTTCTAAAGCAGAGTGATATTGAAGTTTGCTGGTAGTTTCTGTAAATGCCAAATACAGCAATACATGTAAGACGAAAATAGCTTTCAATAAACAGTATCAAAGATACTCACTTTAACAGGAAATTCAGTTTTTGGTAAATAGAATTTTTTGTTCCACTGACCCTGGCACAAGTGGGTGTCTGAAGTTTAAACTGAGTTATGGAATCCAGAGTGTAGGATGCTACAAAATGCCTTTTTAAGAGCTTTAGCCAGATTTAACAAACATTTCCTCAATAATATGTCCTATTAAAAAGTTGTTTCTGTTGTACTAATGTGAACACTTAAGGATGTATTAAGCAGACTTTTAAAAGGACTTTTTAAAAGAGAAATGCGCCTCAGAATTGTTCCTGTCACATCATGTTTATCTAATCAACAGAGAGAGCCCTGAAATAGCTCTGCTTTAGGAATGGACTTCCTGAAGGGCAAGTATAGAGAGAAGGCCTATTTATAGTACAGTAGAAAATTCTTTATGGAAAAGTTGGGAAATTTTACCTTGCACATTTATTTTATTGACATTGTCACATCTTACCTCCAAAACAGTGTTCTTTTATAATCTTTTGGATTTTTTTTAAAAACGTTGCTTTTTAAGGAAGCCACTGGAAAAAGATGTAGTAAATTGGCTGCTATGGATATGATGGGGAACATACTTTACAGCTAATGCAAGATACCGCCTTTACTGGAGCCTATTGAAAATATTTATCTTTATAACAAAACATGTCCAGATGCATCTGCCATAGCTTTTTTAAAAATATGCACCGATGATTATACTAACTATTGATACAGTACTTAATTTCACACAGGCCAGTGTAAATCTAAACTGGTCATCTGCATCTGTACCACCATCAAGATTGACAAACCCTCTGTACCAGCCAGCTGCCAAAAAAAAAAAAGATTGACAGATCAAGATACAAATAGCACACAACTATTTTGAGTAAAATTTAGCAATAATAGTTTATAGATCATTTTCACTTTGTTCACCTATTTGTGTACTGAGGAATTTCTAGTAAATTTGAAGTGGCCGCTTTAACAACCCCAAAAATCTTAGTAAGTTTTTTTTTTTTTAATTTTCTACTTAAGAGGAAGTTTCATTTTTACTGTATCAAATTGCATTATGGAACTTGAACATAACACTATTCTCTATTTGAATTGGTTGGCATATCATGACCTAAATTTATTTTATCTTGGTTAATGTTAGATGTGTGAGAGTTTTCATCAAGGCCTAATTCTAAGGTTTTTTTTAAACATCAGTGTCACCACATTTAAATAACTTTATTAAGAACTAAATACGTGGTAGATATTAACATACAACAATGGAGTAAGATATATCGTCACCCACACTTAGATCCTTTAAATCTAAAATACTTATTTCACAACTGAAAGACATTTGGAGGCCGTTAAGATATATCAACACACAGGCATGTGGACACTGTAAAGCCTATGCTCTCATTTCACAGGTGAGGGTACTCATATTCAGAGTGGTCGTGGGGCTTGCCCAAGGTCAGGCAGAAGAACGTCAGGTCTGACCATTAGTTCAGTTCTTATAATAACAGAAGCCAGATCTTACCACTAGCTCTTTTCCAAGCACCGTTATGTTGTTGTATTTTTGTTTTCTCTGTCTTTCTCAGATTAAGGATAAACTACAGATTTAGTTTGTTTCTGAAAGATTTATGGCTACAAATTTCACCCTTTCTCACATATCATCTAGGTGTTGATAGAGGTCACCATCATCCTGTGCCCATCTCTGCCCAGAAAAACTGGCTTGCTTTGAGGAGTCAACCTTTTATTCTGAAACGTGATCACATTTTGGCTCAGTGATGGCAGTCACCCTGCATTGCTCAAGCATTTGGTCATCACAGGGTACTTGTCATTTGGTACTGAGTTGAAATGAGGTTGAGCTTTTTCTAAATCCAAATTATTTTCATTAGTCTCTTATGGATGTAAATAGGTATTGTCTTTACTTAGACATAAATATTTCGTAAGCACAGTCAACTTGTCTGACAGAAAATTAGTTTTGAGAGTATACTAATCTTTCTGAATAATTTTCACTCAACAGCTGCACTGATAATTTAAAGACTAGGAGTTTTCCCAAGGAGCACAAGAACAAACTGAACACTTTACATGCAACTTCATGGTTTTATTATTGGTGAGAGAAGGGAGATTCTGATTTGGTTGCATGTCCTTAGCCTTATTGGAAAAGAGGCAGGAAGGTAAAATGTGTATCTAGTGTTTTTGGTGGTGGAAGAAACAAATTGAGAGGAAAAGGCATTATGTCTAATTAATTACAGGGAAACAAGGCTGTTCATGTCTTAATTCTATAGTTTTCTATAAGGTAAGTATAATTTAGCCCCTTAAATCAGCCCTGGACTAAAAAGAAAAAAACGTTTTTTGTTTTTTTTTTTTAGGTAGGGTGGGAGACTAAGAACACAGAACAGAAAGCAGAATTTGTGTTTGTAAGTGCTGTGGTTCAAATTTGTCCCCTGAAGTTTATGTGTTGGAAACTTAATCCCCAATGCAGCAGTGTTGAGAGGTGGGACCTTTAAGAAGTGATTAGCTCATGAAGGCTCCGTCCTCATAAATGGATTAATTTCATTATTGTGGGAGTGGGTTATTTAGGACAGGAGTGAGTTCTGGATAAAAAAGATGAGTTCACCCACCCCTGCACGTGCGCTTGAACTGAACTGCTCTCTTGCCCTTCTGCTATGGGATGATGCAGCAAGAAGGACCTCACCAGACATGGGCCCTTCAGCCTTGGACTTCTCAGCGTCCAGAACTGTAGGAAATAAGTTTCTGCTTTTTGTGAATTTTCCAGTCTTAGGTATTCTGTTAGAGCAACACAAAATGGACTAAGACAGTAAGCATTTTTTTTTTTTTTTAAAGATAGGTGGTTGGGAGAATGCTCAGTGGGTAAAATAAGAAAAGTATTTGAATTTCCATTTTGAAGGATGAAAACTAGTTAGATAGGAAGCTGATAAAAATGGTATATTTGTTTTTGTTTGAGCAAAGATGTGAATGTAAAAGGGCCAACTCTTCCTTAGTTGTGTTATCACCTAAAGTTCAGTCTATGTCACACGATTCAAATGTAGTATTCCTTTTCTTGAAGACTTTTTTGAACTTTGCTGTGGATATTTGCCAAACATTGTGATGTGATTAACAATAATTAAGTAATTTTGAGAGTCTGATTTAATGAGCTTAGTCCTAGAATTTCAACCACTTTATTTCCAGGCCATCTGCTAAGCGGAGCACCTATGTTTCTGTTTACGTGGTCTTGCTTTGTCCATGGTTGAATACTTGGCTGCTATAGACAGTGCTTGTAATCGACTTGCTGTCTAGGGGTGTGTAGGAAGTTCAAGTAGATTCTGAGCTAGATGGTTGCTTTAGATCTGCATCCGTGCCCAAAAGTTTCACAGCCAACATGCCTGGGTCAGCCTGACATGGTTCCGGCCAGCTAGAACATGTGCTCTTGAGAAAGTCTATGCACCACCTAAGCCCTTTCAGCTTCTTTGTTTTTACTTTACCACTTTTGTCACTGTTTTTCAGAACTAAAAACACCAGAAAAACTGGATTGATAGTAATCACTTTCTTTTTCGTATGTTTTTTGTCTCCCAACTGTCTCAATCTAATTAAATTCAACATCATTCCACCAGCTTAAGAGAAACGTATTGTGCATTTGAGTTCAGTTATGATTCTGTAAAGACTTTGTGAAGCCTAATTCGGTAATCATTATGTACTGTTAAAATGGGATTTGGTAGGTTGTTGGAAAAAAATAGGATAACTTGTAAAGAAAAAAATGTGTTGCTATTCCTGCTACATCACTGGTTAACACTTAGACGTAGCACTATCTTCATATCTTGGTCTTGGTTTATGATATATGACAAGTTAGATTGTAGTAATGATTCCACACTTGAACTGCTTGACATTATAGTAGACATCGGGGTATCTTTCAACTTGTGAAAACAATTGCTGTATCTTCATGTTGATAGCATTTTCAATAAAATTGAGGTTAAGGATGGGCATTATAAAAAGAGTAAAGGAATTTTTTTGATAGTTTTCCCCAGAAAGATTTTAAATATACAAGTTTGTTAAATATTAATGGGAACTGGTTAATAAAGCAGGAAGGAACAGAAACATAAAGAAATGTTCTGTACCATGTCCTGAGTTATCAAAAATTTCCTGACGTCTGGTTTATTTTCAAAGCCAATAGATAAATGTGCTTGAATACAAGTGTTATTATCCTAATGTTTTATACTAAAACAGGCTCTTTTAAATGGTTATTTTTACTGTAAATTAGAAGTACACCTCCAAATAAAACATATCTCTCATTCCATGTACTAAAATATCTCTAAGATCAAGGTAATAGAGGAAAATTGTGTGACCACATAATGCTAAATCACATTGAGAAATCAGGCTTTTGTTTTTCCTTCTGCTAGCTCCTTAGAAGGTTTTTGCAGCTTATTAAATTACCTTGATACAGTCAGGTTTGAAATAGAAGATGTGCTCATGAGCAATTATGAATGAATGGCAAGAAGGCATGCATTGATGAAGAAGTAGAGGACAGCTGGAAGAGCCTTGAGACTAAATATTGGAGGTATCTTTGTGTGGGTACCAATGGCTGAGGCCATGTGACCCACTTCCAGTCACATGTAAAAA